ACTGAGCGTTCTTCCTGAACTTGAGTTGTAGCCTGGTGCTTCCCTAATAAATCCCGTAATCTGTGAGTTCTGTGTGGCCACTGCAGTGAATTATTGAACCCAGGAGAGAGGTGGTGGGTGCTTTGGGAGGAATGGTTGGTGAAAGGGCTGGAGGGAGGCAGCATGTCTGGCCTGGCAGGAATAGGCCTTGGGTTACTGCTGGTAATCCTGTCTTCCTCTTGTGGGATTAGAGAAGGTCAGAATATGTGGCCTCCTTGCCGTTTTTGCAGTCCTCAAGGTGACATCTCTGCTTTTTAACTACCCCCAGGGCTTCAACGACCGCCATCTTTAGGGAAGCAGACTGCCTCATCTTTCTCCCATGGAGTAGCCAGTGGGTTCAAAGTGCTAACCTTCTAGTTCACGGCCAAGTGTTTCAACCTCTGCACCACCAGAGCTCTTAAGTTGACAAAGTATCAGTGCATGGAAAGCCCAGGCAACGGGCTTCTAGCCTGGATAGGATGACCTGTGCCTGCTTCAGCTACTCAGTTCGAGGCACTCTCTGGGCCCCCGAGAGCAGAGCATGAGGACCCCGCCTTCCCTATCACACCTCACAGGAAGTGGCACCCACACCTTTGTTCAGATCCGCAGTATGATGGGGAGAGAGTGAAGGTGGAAGCGAGGCTGAATGGGGTTAGGAACTAAGCTTCTGCTCTTACAACATGTCCACATCCCTGGTTCCCCCTCAGCTGGGGTGGATGTGAAGACAGAGCAGGTGGGGCTCAGGAGGCGCCCAGCAAGCGACAGGTCTACAGACAGCTTGGCGGATACAGGCCTCCCACGTCCACATGTGCTGTAACAGCGTCCTCCCAGCAGCACACGCCTGCACGTGCGCGAAGACCTCCCGTCATGGAGCTGGTGGACCCGGTCCATGCAATGAAGGGGTGAGCAAGCAGTCCTACCAAGGCAGGCTGAACAGGTCTCTACAAAGACTCCAGGACCTTGAAGGGCCACAGCAGAGGCTGCTCTCTGAGTGCCATCACGGATAGAGCTTAGAGACTGTGAAGAGTATGAGCATCAGAACATCCAAATTCTGTCAGTCGCAGCTGGAGGACTGCAAGACAGCTCTAAGGTCTATCACAGGACAACCTGTGGCGAACGTCCCTTGCCATCTTCTGGGCGACCCTGCTCCGACATGCAGGGGGTGTGTGTGTGCACTCTTTTTTCTCCCCCACTTCTATTGTGCTGAAAACATACCCAAGACATTCACTGACATAACACTTCCATGTTTACAAGCCAGGACACTGATGACTGATGACATTTTTCATGGTATGCTATCATTATTGCTGTCCTTTTCCAAAATACCCCACCACCTACTATCATACTCAATGCTCCTAAACAAAAGCTTCCCCTTTCCCCATTCCTCCCACCCCTGGTAACCACGAATAATCTTTGGTTTATATATATATATATATATATATGTGTGTTCTTTTCAACCTATCTAGAAATTTCCCTTCCCCTTCCCTCCCCGGTTAACTAACAAAGGAAGTCTCTCCCCATCCAGGTATAAACCTTCCTTGTTCCACTCGCTCTTTAAAGCACACCTGTATTCTGACCGACTAATAAGAACTGGTAGTAGTGGGATCCTCAAGGGGCAGGGCCAGTGTCCCTGAACAGTCCCATATTTGATTTTGTTCCCCACGCAGCCCCAGGAGCTGTGCACAGGAACACAGAAGCCCAGCCCCGTGTTTGTGTAAAGAGAGAGTGTGATCACTCCTATAGCCACCAGCTGGGAAATGGTTCTGAAAACTTTACCTTTCACAAGTGTAACATTCACAGAACTCATTGTTTTCTCCAAAAAACCCATCTCCGTAGTAACAAGAGATTTCCTCTCCAGGCTCGATGTCTCTTAAAGCCTTCACACATGCGGTGTCCCGGCCAGTAGACACAAACTGAAACAAAAGCCACTCATTAAAGAGACTCACACATGAATCCAAAACCCAGCACCTGAGCAAAACACAGACCGGTGCTTACCTTACAGTTAGGTCTGCAATCTGAAAAATGTCCAAAAGATAAAGTCAGTTAACTGATGGTAAGATCTGAAACACGAACAGTTACAGAAGTCTGCAATCAGCATTCCATACAGATTTTCACAACTTCTGACAGGAGGCTAGGAGCCAAGGGAGGCTTGAAGGGGACTTCTGTGAATGCATTGTGACGAAAAGGGTTTGTGTTTCTATCCCTCCACAGACGAGGGGCTTGAGTTCCTTCACAGTTCTATTCTGCAGGGACTGCACTGAGTCTGGGCGGGCATTCTGCCTCCCAGCAGGCCTGCCCGGCACGTGTGCTGCCACCCGCGGTGCGGCTTACCGTGGTTGATGAAGGCAGCGGGGCCGAGCCAGAGTTGCGCGCAGTTCTTCCGCGTGGAGTACATGACACTGAAGTCGTTCTCCCCGTGGCGTAGTAGCAGGTTCTCCTCCATCTCTGAAAGTTCGGCAATACAACCCACCAGTAACTCTATTTTGTCATTTCGTTTCCTATTTGAAATATGTGACGTGTTAAAATTTTCTAGTGATTATAAAGAAGAAGGCTTCTTTTAATAAAACACGCTGCCCAATCAATATCAGGAAGAAAAGACCGAGCTCTGTATGTCCTGGATCACACCTGGACAGCTCCTGGTCGGAAGCCCCACAGCCCGGCACTAGGGTTACTGGTGTATTTTCTGTCCCTACATGAGGCAGACTCTTGCAGGCCAGGAACTGGGCTACTGAGGCCTCTGAATCCCCTGGAGCACCTACAAGCGTGTTCTGCACACAGAAAGTACATGAAGACTTGCTGCACTGAACAAAGCCTGCTGACCACTGGGACGAAAGAGACCAAGACACGTAGATGTGGAGGGCCCTGAGAGCCCAGAATTGTGCCCCACCTCTAGAGCAGCACTGTCCACCAAAACAGTGGAAATAGGTAAAATTACTTATAAGAATGAATTTAACCCAATACAAATGAGAAATAAAGTTAGCACGGAGTCTGGTGTACACAGCACCCTCACTTCAGACTAGCCACCGCAAGGGCTCCATAGCCGATGGTGGCCAGTGGCTGCTGTCCTGGGCAGTGTAGCCCTGGGACTCGTAATCTCAACCCCCATCACCATCTACAACACAAAGAGCCACAAGACCCAACTGGCAGGTTCAGTACCACCCCAGGGTAAAAAAGTACACACTCACACACACTCACCCAGGAGGCCTGGGAAGCAGGGCTCTTCTGCCCTGTCTCTTCCACTGTCAGCTACCTGACTTCTATAATTCATGGTGTAAGAAACGGGGGAGCGTGGGGACAGTGAGGCAGCGAACAGGTATCGGAAGACACCGTCACAGTGTCTCTCATCTGTGGCTTTCCACCCTCCTAGCTGGCACGTGTGTGTGTGTGTGCGTGCGTGTGTATATAGATGTATGTGTTTGTGTGTGTTTTTCAATCAGACAATGCTTCAGGAAGTCTCTGCCAGTAGAGCTCCTTGCATCACTAGGCATGTTCTCTCTGACCCTTCTTCTAGGCCAGTAAAAGACTGACTATGGAACCAGGGTATCCAACCCTGGTGCCCTTACCCTCCCAGCAGTCTCGTCACTGAGCAAGTATCCAGCTCAACAAAAGGAAGATGGCTAGAACGCTGGTCTGGGCAAACTGAGACTCCCAGTTCCACTGCCTGTCAACCGATGGCCAGGCCAGGCCACAGCAGCGGCTCCTTCTCAGTACAACCTGGCTGCGTTCCTTACTATGAAATGTTGCCACACGTTAATGGTCATTCAGAGAGTTTTAACTGCAGTCACTTAGGGGTTTAAAGGTTTGCACTAGTGTAATAGTTACCACTCTTTCGTTGCAACTATTTTGGCTCCATTTTGCTCTGAAGAGTATCTATTACAAGGAAGTATCTCAAATCCACTGTCAGTTGCAAACATTCGCAAGTAAATAAATACCTAGAAGAGGAAAAAAGAATTTGATATTAACTTTATCCTAAATTGGAAATCCTGTTACACTTTCTCAGAATTATAAAAATAAACCACCACCACCAAGGTACAAATGTAACATCGTTAAGTGACAAACTATCGTTGCTTTAAAATTCCGTCTTTGGTACCATTTGACCCAGCCATCCCATTACTAGGTATATACCCTAAAGAAGTGAGAGCCATAACAAGAACAGATAAATGCACGCCGATGTTCATCGCAGCACTATTTACAATAGCCAAAACTTGGAAACAACCTAGATGTCCAACAACTGAGGAATGGATAACCAAACTTTGGTACATTCACACAATGGAATACTATACAATGCTAAAGAATAATGTAGAATCTGCAAAACACCGCATAACGTGGATGAACTTGGAGGACATTATGCTGACTTAAATAAGTCAGTCACAAAAGGATAAATATTGTATTAGTCCGTTATTGTAAAAGTTAAGGAAAGGTTTATATATTGGAGGACATTTTCTTTGTTGGTTACCATGGGTGGGAGAGGAGGGGAGGGAATGCTGTTAGATAGATAGAGATAAATATTGATTTGGGTGAAGAGAAGGGCAATGTACCAAATGTGAGTGACCAATATGGCAGCATTGAGGATGAGAAAGACATAGAGAGTTACATGGGCAGTACAGACAACAAATATGAACCCTTTTGCATATACAGTACTGAGTTGTCAGTGAAAGCAAACATGGGTATATGGACGGATAGATAGGTGAACAAGCTAAACAATTAGGTATGTCTAAATGGAGAGTGTATCTAAGATCGTATATAGGGTTGGCAGACAATGGGCCTATAAGTTCATGTGAATGATCAGAATTCCCAGGTGTATAGTAGAGCTGACAAGGGGCAAGGTTATGGTCATTGCTTGGTCACAGCCAGCTACCCAGAGGGACCGAGTAGTTGATCCTGCGGGCTTGGGACCATAGTCGCAGGGGACATCAAGCTTAATTGGCATAACATACTACACAAAACATTGTTCCACCTACTACTTTGGCGAGTAGCGACTGGGACCTTAAAAGCTAGCAAGCTGCCATCTAGATGCAACAACGGGTCTCTCCTCGTCAAGAAGAAAGAAGAAAACCAAAATGAATGGAAACAATCAGTCCTAGCGACTGGTACACCATCCGATCTGCAACCTATACAACTATGAGACCAGAAGAACTAGATGGTGCCCGGCTACCACTGCCATCCACTTGGAAGGGATGTAGGAGATCCTGCATAGAGAGGGAGAACAATGTGGAACAAAACTCAAAATCATTTGGAGGCAAAAAAAAAAAAAAAGAAGGTGGGGACCAGGTTTGCTGGTCCAATAGAGCCTGGTGGAACCACTGAGACTATGGCCCCTAGCTGCCCTTCAGGTCTGGAATTGAACCCACAACTGTGGTTTCCAGCCAAACAAAGTACAGGCATGTGAGTTAAACAGTTACCTCAAGTAGACACACGCCCTGGAGAGAACAATCATGGGAGAAGGAAGGGCTCCTTATGTACGGGGAGATAGCTCAGGGTGCAGAAGAGTATGAAGGGATGGACACTGGGAGGAGGTAACTATGGGGAGGAAGTGGGAGGGGAGCTGCTGCATTGTAAATTTTGGTCAATGACATGAGACAAAGTATATGTGAACTGCTGTATGAAAAGTGAATTTACTCTGTAAATCTTCACCCAAATCCTAAAAAAAAAAAAAAAAATTCCATCTTTGGGCACCAGAGAGCCAGCTATGGGACTCTACAAGTTCACAACGAGTTCCCTTCTCAACAACAAGACTTTCTCTCTTAACAGTAAGCCCACGGATCTCCCCAGGTGCCCCGTAATCCTCCTAATGATTAGTTTTCCGAAAGGCTCATCCAAAGCTTGACTGTTCCCCTGTCGTCACCTTCACCCTTATTCAAACAGATGAACAGCCCTTATCTGCTCAGCAGACCTACATGCTCTTTGAATAACTTCTCCTGCATCTTGTTCTTGTTAAGGAAATAGTGCCGTGCCCATTCGCCTGACGTCAGACACTTGAAGGCTTTCTCCAGGTGCTCATCTTTCTTAAAACGCTCAATCACTTCCTTCAGTTCTTCCTGCCTCCCTTTAATAGGCCGGAACCTGAAAGAAACCCAAGCAGCAAGTTTAGTTACATTCCACCATTCTTGGGCCACTGACCTGCCCTGAGATATCCTGAGCAGAAGAGAATACACACTCTCAGACCAGCCCGGTTTTCAAAGCACAGAGCTAACGAAGGACAACCACCAACAATCTTGATCATTATTATTCAAAGAACGGTGATTATCAGGAAACAGAACTTCTCTTTCTTCAAACTACTGGATACTGGTCTTTGCTATCTCATTAACTTCAAGATTACCAGAGGATTCACTAAGGCTGGCTGATTCAGGCTTCTATTAGTTGTCTACTTTGGAAAGCACGAAAGGAAAGATCTAGAATAGGGCAGAATAGAAAATATCTAACCAAGAATTGGAAGGACAAGAATTTTTACAACATGAAGAATCAAGCTGCAGGAGTAGAAGCCAGCGAGCTCTGGAGAAACAACGAAGCCAACAGAGCCATGAACAGAAACGTCCCTGGCTCCCGGTCAGAGAAACCTCAAGCGACGTGTCTCGAGGGGCCTGAAACAGACCCTGATGTACTGACCACCTTCGTCACGTTTCTCTCTGATAAATGCACCCAGGAAACAAAGGGTGCAAGAAGTACGAAGCTGGCAGTGAGACTGCTTCCAGGTGAAGTAAGTAGAAAAATGCTGGGGCAGAGGCTGAGAAGGTGTGGACGGTAGGTCAGTTATAACGACTTCAGAGTATTACACTGCCAGGCACGGATCAGGAGCTCTGGGGGCACGGTGGTCCAAGCACTCAGCTGCTAACCAAAAGATCAGCGGTTTGAAACCACCAGCCACTCTGCAGGAGAAAGATGAGGCAGTCTGCTTCCATAAAGATGTGCAGCCTTGGAAACCCTATGGGGCAGTTCTACTCTGTCCTAGAGGGTCACTAAGCGTCAGCATCAACTTGATGGTGGTGGGTTGGCTTTGCTTTGCTTTAGGCATAAAATGGAAGGCCCTGGGAAGTCTGGGTGTTGCCAACAGTGTGTGCTTCACTACAACTGCAAGGTTGGTGGTTCGAATTAACCAAGTTCTGGCAATCTACTTCTGTAAGGTTACAGCCAAGAAGACCACGTGGAACAGTTCTACTCCGAACCACAGGGACCGCCATGAGCCAGGACGACTGACTCGGTGGCGACGGTCTGGTTCAGTTCACTGGTTCAGGCACGTGTTAACGTATGACACAGTCACAGCCCAAGGAGGACTGACATCGGTGAGGCCCTCGCGCGAAAGCTGGTTTCTCAGTAAAGCATGGTTACCGTGACTAAATGTACTTGGACCTTAATTTCAAAATTTCTTTTCATGCCAATTTCCTTTGGCTAATTTTCCCAAATAAAGTTTTTATTTTTCAAAACACTGAAAAGAAAAAAGGAATTATGGACTGCTATTAAAATAAAATACATTCAGAAAATGGTATTCTTACTGTTAAGGAGAAGAAGATATCTGAACTATGCATCTCACTCTCCCATTTAAAACTGTGCATTTAATGCTGACACCGCTAACACCCAGAGAGGGCCGAGCACAAACTCCACAGAGGGAGTGTCCGGGCAGCAGTCTCTTCTAGAGACGCTCTCACAACTGCACTCCTAACGGTTCAGTTAAGAACTTAAGTCGTACTCTTTCATCGAGGATTATTTATGAAGCGCTGCTGAACACAGACTGCAGCTCCTGAGGGGCTGTGGTGAAAACGACAAGGGACAGAAAACATGGCCCCTGTTCTTGGTAAATCTAATTGGGAATGAAAGATAATTTACGTGCCTCACACAGCTGAACAAAGCATCAACATGCAAAAATGAATGTTAATACAGTAACAACTGTACTCTACAAAGTTCAAAATGCACCGAGTTCCACTACCACCGAGGCAGAAGATTTGCCCAGGAAGGGTTTCTGGAACTGATACTGGCACAGGCAACAAGGACAGTGGGGAGTCCAGCGTCGCCCAGAGCAGCAGAGTATTCCCACAGTCGGGAAGGAGGGAAAGGAGCGAGGGCGGAGAGAGGAAGGTCCAGCACCGGTCCTCAGCCAGGTTCATGCGGCCAGGTGGAAGCGGAGCGAGCCAGCTGGCCAGCCAGGGTGAAGGACCAGAATGAGGTAGGAAGAGGGGGGGACAGCACCGTTCGCCGGACAGATCCAGAGCACTGAGACACATGAGTGCACCCCGACGGCACGCAGATGCACCGGCTGGAGGCCAGCAACTCTGAGCCCTCCCAGCTGTCCAGCAGAACTAGCCCCAAGAGTTGAAATGCACCCTAGAGGAATCCCGAGGAGGAGGGTTGATTCTCCATCTTCAAGCAGCTGAAATATAAGCCCTCACAGAAAGGGGGTCCTTTAAAGAATTCAGAGTATCTTCAGGTTGTCAGAAAACCACCCCTACAATCCCGGATGTCCACAGAGTTGTGATATTAACTGCCTGCAGCCACCATGCTCAATGGTACCGAGAGGAGGCCTAAGGAGCACTTGGCCACAAGGCTGCTCTGCTGCCAATGTGCATGAGGAACAGAGAAGACGAGGCAGCAGCCGTTAGCTAAGGCTTCAAGCAATGGGAAGCCTGCAATGGTGGGGGCCAAACAAGCTGGGGCTTCCCTGCCTAGTGATCAGCAAAGCCAGAGCTCACTTTGAGCAAATGCACTAAGTAACCAGTGAGCACCTGGTGACCCTGACGTGCTCAGCAAGGCTCAACGGATTATCACGCAGGTCAGAGCCAGGGCTGGGTACCCTGCTGGCCAGAAGAGAGTGCCAGTGCCCTCCGCGGCTGTGTGTCCTGCCCCTTCAAAGCACGCTCCTTCCCGGCTACAAACGCCGGGCGGGTCTCCTGCATCTTGTTTACTCTGCCTGTGATACTAACACTTCACACACCAAAACCAACTCGCAATCCCGACTCAGGACCATTCTGCCTGCAATCTCCTGGGTCGACTTGTTTCTGCTTCCTGACCGCTCCTGCCTCACTCACACACAAAACCCCCAAACTGTCCCTCGTTACTGCGTGCAGGAACTTCCATTTCACTGAAAATGTTACATTTACGGCCTCAAACTGTTAGCACTACATCAGAGCTGGCTGCTATAGGAGTGAGGACGAAGAGGAGGAAAATGCCTACGGGCACAGACGGGAGAGAAAAGGCAGCTGTCCTCCCAGCTCCACAGAAGGACGCGCTCTTTCAGTCCCACCTCAGGGTCGGACAGATACAGTGGGAGGGAAAGCAGCTGAGAGCCAAGGCTGCTGTGACCAGCAGGACCAGGGGACGGCCCCGGAGGAGGGCCCTGAGGAGCAGCACTCCTCTCTCCACTGAGAATCTCTCTGAGCTCCCAGCAGACGGCAGCAGCCCTCTGCCTGCCACAGCACCTGCCGTTGGAAGGAGAGGACAGATGACCTCACTGAGGCCTCATTTCTCAAATAACAAAACTGAGCCCAATGCCAAGTCCTCTGCACCGGGCCTCCGGGTAGTCAGTGAGGAACTGGGAGGATCAGCCAGGTCTTTTCTGTCCCTACTTTTTCTGGACAAGGAGAGCCTGGAGTGATAGTGACACATCAGCAAGAAGCCACTTACCTGGCAACCAGACGACATACTTAAGTTTCCGCAACCAGCAGCTTTTGAAGAAAGTTAGCCAAGAGTCTTGTGGTTCTCATCAGACCTGGCTAAGGACTGCGGTCCCCGTTCTCTCCCCTCCTTGCATTACGCTACACAATCAGAAAGGGGTCTCCTTGTCCCCTGCCCCCACCCCACGCATTATGCGAAATGCCTGTCATCTTTCAAAAGGAAACAGGACAGGAAAAGAAAAATGTACCCATTGTACAAAGTCAACTGTAGCTGGCAGCTTCAACTGTGAGCAGAACACCACAAACCTACTGTCATGGCTCAGTGGCCGAACTGTGCCCTCCTGTGTCCTGCGACCAGAACAGGGTGACATGGGTGTGCTCTGGGCACTGGCACTGAGCTCAGCCAGAGGCAGCTTGGGCCTGCATAAGGACACCCCGTGGCAGAATGGACACCCACAGATACTCACATTCTGTGCTACAAGGGTGAGGGAGAGAGAGCTGGCACTTCCAAATCAATCCACCCCCTCCTCCCTCTTCTGAGTGTAATATTTGCTACTTTGAATAACCAAGCAAATTTGTTTTTCTCTTCCCACACCTCTCATCAATGGCTGGTGTCATTTAAAACTGGCTATTACTAAAAGAGGCGGAAACAAAGATGACCTCACACTCCCACACAGCTGTGCCCCACTCCCTCTGGAGAATGACTTCCCAGGTTTCCTTGTGATCCGGTTTTTCTCTCCACACTCAAGAGAACACGGTGGCAGGGGAGGCAGTGAGGATCTGTGTTGGCCGCACCACTGGGGCCCATCGGCAGGCATAGTCAAGAGGTGACTGGAGGGACGGGGACAGGAGCGTGGGCAGGAGAGGACTCACACATTACAGATCTAACACGAGAGAGGCAGGCACCTGGTGACCACATTCCCCCTCTGCAGTCAGACTGCACGCAGACAGTCGGCAGACGCGGGAGGCCACGCTAGAACCACGGTGCCTCGCTCTTTGACCTGAAAACAAACAAGAGCCCAGAACGTACCTGGCTGAGTCCTGCAACCAGTGCTCAGCTAATCCCAGGGAGTGACTCCTCATCTTTTGATGAGTGATTTGTTTCTCTTAAAAGTACCCTGTTATGGAGTACAAGTGGTTTTCTTTAAACAGAGCTGTTACTAAACCAGGTGATTTTAAAAGGTTTGTAAAACGTTCTACAACTGTGTTTATGCTGACACCTCCGATTAGTTAACGTAATAGAACATTACAGGCTGGGGCTGGAGCGTCAGTTATCTAGCAGCTTCTGGAATGTACTCTACCTACCTGACAGGATTGTTGGCAGGAAAACTGTCCGATTTTGAAATATGCCTTGAGCTCCTCGAAGGAAAGGCGCTATAGGAAGGGAAACACAGAGCAGCATAAGAGACAATGTGCACACCTGACGGGTTATTCCTACACAGACTTTCAACATGACCTGGGGAAACACTCCTCCCTCGCTGGGAGGGTCAGGGACTGTATAAAGCCACGAGGAGGCAACAAAAGCCAACTCGCTGCAATTCTTCACTTTCTACGTAATTTTACCCATGACTATATTTGGTTACAAGGTCTAAGAAACTTGTGTGCTATGCAGAGTCAAGCTCCTGATTTTAAAGTGACTCATAAACTCATCCCCAACAGCAGAGACGGTCATCAGATCCAGGAGTCAGTGCAGAACAGCGAGACGGCCGCAGCAGTGGGAGGCGGTGGAAGGGGTGCAGGTGGAACTCTGGATCCACGAAACCAGGACGAGGCCACAGAGAAAGCGCCCACAGTGACTATGCTTATGGCCCGATGCTGCTATTTCCTGCTCGCTGACGGCCGAGGGGGCGCCTTTCCTTGATGAAATCTCAGGGTCGGGGAGCCTAGACCAGGCTGTGCTCCCAAACACCCACCCCCGCTTTACATGACCCCCCACCTCAGCCTAGGTGGAAACCAGTGGTCACCACCGACCCACTCCTGGTTAAAAGGAAGAATGGGCATTTCAGTGCTGTCCTCCTAGTCAGCTGGAATTAACCTTTTGTTGACAGTATTTCTGGGTAACTGTGGTACAGCTCCGAGCTGTTGTTAGCAAGTAAGGGATCTATGCCTCTTAAAAGATAAGCAATCAAAACACAGGCAGCTTGGATAATCTCAACATCATTAAAACCTACTGTTTCTCACCATCAACACTGTTCTTGAGGACACACTGCAAGAAGGGAAGCAAAGTTGCCCCCCCCAAAAAAGAAAGAAAAACGACAATGCAAGTACAGGCCCATAAGCATGGACAGAGACCCATGAGACAAACCATATGCAAGGTCTTCTTCCTTTAACATCCTTCTAAACATTAAGCTCAACAAAACGGTCTGCTCAGCTCAGGACAGAGACTTAAAATTACCTCGTGTTCATTTTGTGGGTCTGAAAACCCAGATAGGGGTCCAAAACCAAGCTGGTTGCTAGGTCATCGTTCTCGCAGAGCTCCTTGGCAGACATCCCGGACGGCGGGACGTAGCGGCTCTGCCCCTCGAGTCCAGGATTGCCGTTGCCTGCGAAGAGCAAGGGAAACCAAAGTAACTCAAACTGCCCACACTGATATCTACCTTGAAAGCCTGCTGCTTCACTGCTCGTGTACGCTGGTGATCAGGCAGAGGAACTACTCATGTCTGTGCTTGAGCACCCGTCGCATCCACAGGAAACCGACTGCAGTGCGCTAAGCCGCTCACTCGGAGCATTCTGGTCACGGAGAGCACTAGCAGGGCCCCAGGAAAGGGCTGGGTGACGGCAAGACCCTTCGGCTCACTACTTTCCTCTCCCCTCCACGGAACAGCTGAGAAAAAGAGAAACATGGCGGGGTGGGGCGTAAACAACAAAGGCGTACTTCCTGTGAATTCCTGGATTCTCAGAATCCAGATCTCAAGTATGGAAAGAAACCTAACAGAGCAGCTCAGTTTCCTGCTTTTGGGGCCGATGAATGATTATTTATCCCTGTTACTATGCAAAGGAGCTCTGGTGGCACAGGGCCTAAGGCATCTGACTGCTAACCAGGAGGCTGGCGGTTCAAACCCCACCGGCCACTCCACAGAAGGAAGATTTGGCAATCTACTTCTGTGAAGATTCACCACCTCTGAAACCCAATGGGGGTCACTGTGAGTCGAAACTGACTCGAGGGCAGTGAGTTTGGTGTTATTACTGTGCAGGTAACTGGCTCAGAAATTAAGACACCTGTCTATGATTCCAGGGCTGGCAGCAGAAGCTGGGAAAGGAGAAGGACAGCGACAGGCCTACTTCTCAATGACCTGTTTGAGAAAGACTTTGAATGAACACACAAAAATAGGGATGTGGCTGGAACACACAACTGAAGTGACTGGTGGCAGAAACCAACGTAAAGAACGAACAGGGCCAAAGTACGGGGGGATGTTCCACCACCACCATCAGGTACACAGTCTTCTGGAGCAATCAGCACACTAACTCACAGGTACGAGGACACTGGTGCCTCTGGGTTCTCAGGATGAAGATGTGTGAGAAGGACACAGACAAGGAGAGCAGTCATCTACTCCTTCGCTGCTTCCAAAAACCAAAGTCTCTGCCAAAGGGGAAGCACGTGATTTTCCCATCAAGTTATGGGCATGTAGGTGTAAGAAAAGCTATCAATCAAAGCTGTTAAGTTTTCTAAATAACAGCTTTATTAAGATGTTAATTCCCGTATCATACAATTTACCTATTTAAACTCTACGATTCCATGGTTTGTAACAGTCACACAATAGTGTAACCATGATCACAATGTTGAGAACATTTTTTATCACATAAACCACCCCATGAAATAAAAAGAAACCCCACATCTGTGAGTTTTTCACATCCCTCCCTCTTAGGGACCGCAGGTAGCTGGGACCACTGATCTACCTTCTATCTCCATGGCTTTACGGATTCTGGAAATGTCATACGCACAGAATCATGCACGAAGCAGCCATTTGTGCCTGACTGCTGTCATCTGGTGTCATGTCTTCCCAGTTCATCATGATGCACCATGTGTCTCAATTTAATTCACTTTCATGGACGAGGAATTCTGCACCATACAGAGATGACCTTTTCTCTGTCCACTCATCAGTTATTAAACATCTGGGCTGTTTCCCCTGTGTAGCTGTTAGGCAAAGCTGGTATGAACATTTGTATACAAGTTTCTGTTTAGTTTTGCCGTTACTACAGATAAGCCGACACACTCTGATTTCCTTTTCTTCCTTTCTGTGTGTACAAGTCTTTTCGTGGACATATTTCCACTGCTCTTGGGTATATCATACACAGAGTGGAAGTGAAGGGTCACATGGGGTCATTAAAGTTGAAATTAATTTGATGGCAACTAAACAACATGGTAACTATTTCATTTTGAGGAACTGCCAGGCTGCTTTGGAAGCAGCTGCACCAGTGTGTGTTCCACCAGCACTGGGTGAGGGCTTTGCTTTCTTCATACCTTCACCAACGCCTGTTTCAGTCTCTTTCTGTGGCAGACAGCCCAGCGGGGGGAGTGCTACTGCATCTGTGCAGCTCTGATTTGCATTCCTCTAGCGACTTACCAGGAAGGAAGGTTGGGCAATCTACCTCCGTAGTGATACTGCCTCAGAAACCCAAGGAGGGGTCGCTATGAGTTGGGTTTGACTCAACGGCACATAACAACAACAACGACTTACCAATGGTGCGCGTCTTCCCACGCGCTTTACTAGCCAGCCGTGCGTGTATCTTTGGATAAATGTCTAATGGGAACCTCAGTCCATTTTTAAGTGGTTGTTGTTAGGTGCCGTTGAGTCGGCTCCGACTCACAGCAACCCTACATGCAACAGAAAAAAAAACACTGCCCAGTCCTGTGCCAGCCTCACAATCCTCGCTATACCAGAGCCCATCGTTGCAGCCACTGTGTCAATTCACCTTGTTGAGGGCCTTCCCCCTTTTCAATGATCCTCCACTTTATCAAGCATAATATTCTTCTCCAGGAGTAGTCCCTTCTTACAACATGACCAAAGTAGGAGAGATGAAGTCTGGCCATTCTCACTTCCCAGGAGCATTCCGGCTGCACTTCTTCCAGGACAGAGTTGTTCGTTCTGCTGGCAGCCCATTGTATTTTCAGTATTCTTCGCCAACACCACAAGCCAAAAGCATCTACTCTTCCTTGGTCTTCTTATTCATTGTCCAGCTCTCACATGCATATGAAGCAACTGAAAATACCATGGCTTGGGCTAGGTGCACCTTAGTCTTCAGAGAGACATCTTTGCTCTTCAGCACTTTATAAAGGTCTTTTGCAGATTTGCCCAGTGCAATACATCTTCTGATTTCTTGACTGCTACTTCCATTGGTGTTGACTGTGGAACCAAGTGATACGAAATCTTTGACAACTTGAACCTTGTCTCCATTAATCGTGATGCTGCTTACTGGTCCAGTTGTGAGAATTTTCTTTATGTTGAGGTATAATCCATACTGCAGACTATAGTCTTTAATCTTCATTGGTAAGTGCGTCAAGTCATCTTCACTTTCAGGGAGCAAAGCTGTCAATGAGTCTTCCTCTAGTCCTGATGCCACATTCTTCTTCATATAGT